GTCAGAACAACATTTTGCCCTAGTAGGATCTCTACCAGGCTATCACTTCTTTTTTACATACTTCGTGAAAGCTGAGTCCCAAATATATAGGAACACACTGTGGAAGCATTTATAAGGAAAGGAGAAAATGCTTTAAAAAATTAAAATGTCACATCTCCCAAATCAGATGAACAAAATTAACAAGATATTATTACAAGTAACCACAAAAGGAAAGGGAACCAGAGTGGCTTTGCTTCACGGGGTTCTGTGTGTGGTCTAAGACATTGAATGTTCTGGTCACTCTAAGCCTGAAAAGCTGTTTTGAAAGTGAAACACATGAGCACAAGAGGTATCCTGAAAGATTTCAACAATTAGGACCACACAAAGGGAGAGTCTGAAAGAGAGGAGGAAAACCAAGCTTAACAATAACAGCAAACACTTACACGGTGTTTTCTAGATGCCAAGCACCATTCCAAGCACTTTACATATATTAACTTACACAAACTATTGCAAATAATTAATGGCCATGCTTCATAACCAGATTTACCCTGTCATTTTCTTGAAAACTCACTGCTTTTAGAGAGTTCTTGGCAAGTTCCCAAATCCTGAACTGAAAGTAAACTACTTACTATAAATTCCCAAACATACCAATGTGTTGATTTTCAATCTCTTCTGTATTTCAACAGTTTACTACTCCTTGATATTTTACCTCATTACCACATCAGTTATTTTAAACTAACTAAAATCCACAAGACATGACTAGGTATCATAAAACTAGGAATCAAAGTCACTGACCTGTTAGGCTGAAACTGAGTTTGCATTCTAGTATACTATTTCAACGAATGTTCACATAGCAAGAGTATAATCAGCATTCTTAGTATAAAATTCAACAGAAACACCACATGAAAAATAGTTACCTGAATTTGAATCTGGAAAAGACAAATAGCAAATATTGGTTTTCTGAAAAAGAAAACAAAAGCTATATATGCTGACACACACACACCAATTAAAAACAAACAGAAATACAGCAGTAAACTATACAGAGCAATGTTTTTACTTACCTCTTTATCAGTAAGTTTGGAATGTTGAGGATAAATTACCTGGAAGAAAAAGAGTTAAATTTTGTTAGACAAATACATTGAGGCATATTATAAACATTTGTAGGTACTTCTAAAATACTAGTTGGTTATAGTTGAAGAGTTTTAAGAAATATTTCACAAACTTAAACAATGAAACCTGGGAGAAGCTAGGAGAACTGAGTAGGATTTACTTTACACGCACAGAAATGTTTTGGGTCAAAGTTATCTCTAAAAGATTGGTGCAATCTTAAGTTATCAAAAATAATTTACCAACTGAATTACAAACAACTCAAAACTTAGCAAGGCGTTTTTTTGGAAGCCTGAAATCTGAAAAGAGAACTTGATCTGGTAGCTGAGCTGGTAGCTACTTCAAGAAAGAATAATTTTTCAACTGATCCCAAGAAGTAATACAAATCACTAACTACTGAAAGAAAATAATTAAAAGAAAAAGTTAAAGGAAAAAGTAACAATCTCCAGTTTAAGAAACCTCAAAGGACATTTCCCACCATAAGTTTGTCCTAATTCCCTCAATCCCTTTAAATAATCTTTGCATTTTCCTAGACAGGTTGGTTTGCTGCCCACAATGTTCACAGCCACCTTCTGAGGGAAACCCCTGCCCCACAACCCCTGCAAAGGAAGCAAGAATAGTGTCAAAACAAGCACTAGTAAACACTGGACCCAAGGATATCCACTCCACGGGCCAGTTAACCAACTGTCAAGATGTGGGTCGGTGTGAAAATTCTGCCCCAATACCAGTGCTCAGGTGGGCCAATCCAGATTGTCCCGGCAATGTGAGGAAGAGATGGGATTATGAACAGCAGGTTAGCTAGAGGTTGACAATAAAAGGGAGGAGAAACAGCACAAAGAGTAGCTAAATTATGTAAATGTTCAGTTGCTACTGTGGGGACCCATAACTTCCCACTTCTGGAAGACTCCATGAGTTCTTTCGTTCCCCAGAGCTGTGAGAGTGCCTGAAAATCTTCCATTTCCAGAAACAGCATATAGAAATACCATGTTATAAACTGTATTAAAGTGGTTTCACATATTTATTTCCTTTACTTAGTTCTCACAACAGAAAGGGCTAGTAGTGATATCCCCATTTTATATGTAAGAACACTAAGGTAAGAAAAAAGATGGAAGAGAATTAACACTTAATGTGCATGTTCCAGAGTTTTTAATTTTCACAACTCTGTCAATTCTCCCCACTTTTACAGAAGAGGAGACAACTACACAGTAGTTAAATAACTCTCCACAAATGTATTCATTTAGTTAAGTGCCAGAGCTCAGACCTGAACAAGTATATAAGCCACCATTCCTCACTCCACGCACAGCAGCAATCACTAGCAGCAGCCCCCTAGCCTCTTTGCCCTCTAGCCAGGATGTGGCATACAATCCTTCTCAATCCAGGGATACGAGGAGGGTCTATAGAACTGGTATGTTACTGTAAACCACCTCACCATTCCTGGAATAGGGAATGACACCAAAGGCAATATTCTATTTACTCTGCTTTGTATCCCATGCTCTAAACAACTTGACTTTATCTCTGCCTCCACAAAACATGAAGGCAAGAATCTGGTCTGTCCTGTTCACCACTCTATCTTTATACCTAGAAGAGTCTCTGGTGCATAGCAGACACTAAAAAGATATTTCTTCAATCAGTGGATGTACCCTCAAATTAGTTCCATTCAACGACTCACTTTAATAATATGCAATTCTTCTTATGTGTACATAGACCTCCCTTGCTTCACCTTTCCATTTTACCTTTTTACCTTCAAAGCAGACATGCCAATCTTATAACTTAATTAGCTATATTTCATAAAAATCTCATTATATCTAAATTATCCTAAATTTTACTAGTCTAAAACATATTGGTAAGTTTAGTGTTCCATAATAGCCTAATCTTAGACTCTAAAGTCAGTTTTATGGGAGTGCCCTTCAGATTTTTATTCCTGTGGTTATATCAACTCAAAAGCAAACACACGAAGTTTCATTTTTTGTTACGTAAAGACATTACATTGGTTCTTTTGTACTTGGTTTCCTATGGTTTAAAATATCAGCATGGCAATGTAGAAAAAAATGTTATGTTTTACTCATACATATGAGTACCTTAAACATACGTAAAATGTGTTATATACATATGTGTATGTATGTATTTAAGGGGTTTATATATGCTCTATATATTTAAGTAAGTGAAAAAGATATAATTACATAACCATCAACTCTGCCTTTTAGAAACTGTACTAGATTATCAAATAATGTTCTATAATTTCATTTTAATGTACTGTCAGAACTACCCAGTACTTTATTTTAGGATATGATATTCAAAAAGAAACAATGTATATTTATATGCTACAGCTATCCAAATGTCCATACTGTACATAATAAGCTCAGAAAAATAGGAAAAATTCATACTTAATTTTAAAACCTCAATTAAACTAACTCCCCTTGTAAAAAACAAAAGTAACCATTGCCAGGTATCTTGAGCTACACAAATTGCCACAATCACTAGAACTATTATCTGTGTACATTATCTCATTTTTTTAAAAAGCTTAAATATAAATTTAGGCAATTGCTGTTAGCTTAGTCAGTTAGCTCCTGAAACCTCTATGGGAATTAATCAACTGTGGATTGGCCCCGGTACCTGGAGACGCCTCTCGCTTGAAGTTTTCTCTCTCCACAGCTCAAGTCCAGGCATCTCTGTCCCCCAGGCCACTGGCATTCCTGGGAGGCATCAAAAGGGGACAGAGAGCATCAGCTAATGTCACCCTGGTTCTGTGTCCTATGTTAAGGTCTCCCATGTAATAACAAATAAGGGAGAGGCAGCCAGATAATCAGCCAAGAAAAAAGTAAGTTTTGTTTGATATAATAATTAAGATCTAAAAATGATGACATGGCATAAATATTTCGCATAATATAATAGAAAAACATGTGCCTCCGAAAAATATTAATATATATATACTGGAAAATATTATCACAAAATGTTTTAAATGGGGCTATTCTCTTCAAAGGTATGTCTATCTACTACTCACCCCTGCATATTTAACATTCCTACCTCAGTGTGGGAATAATTATGGTCCCAGGAGGCAGAAAATCAGAAATAAGTTAATTTACTGTTAGTACCACTTGGACATGGGAAAAATTCATACAGGCCGTGCATCTCAGCTGTGTGAATGGGTGCTTGCCTACTGCCATGTGACTGTCTGTCTCCACTGCATGATCCCACCTAGCATCCAAAGCCTGGCAGAACCTACATTTCCCCAGAACCACCTGCCTTTATCCCCTACACAGACATTAACTCACATACAAACACTGTCATAATGTTGAAGAGAGGATGGATTTTAAATACAAGAATTATGTCTTCAATGACGAGATACTAATGTGCCTTCCAAATAGAAATAGTTTAGTGGTAGCCAGGGGCTGCGGGAAAGGGGAAAGGGTCATGACTCAAAGAAGGCATAATGGGAATTTCTAGGTCAGTGATAACATTCTGTTTCTTGATCTTTATGGTAGTGACATGTGGTATGTTCACTTGATGAAAACTCACCAAACTATAGACTTAAGGTTTGTGTACTTATCTGTATTATGTTATAATATAATCAAAATGTTTACTTATTTTAAGAAATGGAAAAAAATGGCTTGACATTACATTTTCGGGCAGGCTGGGCTTGAGTCTAACTCCAGCTCACTCAAGATCTAAACTAAATTATGCTCCTAGAAAACTTACCACTTTGAACATGGAGTGAACAGTGAAGCATTTCTCTCAAATAAGAGTAAAGTTTAGATACAACTGTCCATATTTCACATCATTTATCATAGTAAATCCAAACCATAAAGTACTTGTGAAAGGACTAACTGGACAGGAGAACGTCCCAGATTATCTCCAGAGTGGGACTCTATAACTTTGGAACGGAATCAGAGATTAGTAACACCAAAGAAGCCTCTGTAAAATCTGGGAGCCTGAGAAACTCAGGAGGCAACTAAGGCTTTAACTCTCAATCACAGAACTACATCAAACTACTGAGAAATACTACTTACTGTTCACAGGAAATTTGAAGGCCAGTATTAGTACACACAACACCCATTTAGATTAAAACAGTGAACTTGCTAAGGATCAAACAGAGACAATGGATCACCCCATTTAAGAAGGAAAGAAACCAAGGAAACAAGCCTTCACACAACTGCCTTTATCCTTCTCAGACAAATAGACAGAAAACTTGCTACTACGCCAGGCTCCAACCTGCTAGGGGACAAGGGGGAACAGGCAATGACTCAAAAAAAGCAGAAGTGGGAAAGAAAGGAGAGTCAAGTCTGCTAACTGCTCTTTAAAAAATGGCATAAAAGTTTGCCTTCATCCCAGAGCAGAACTTTATCTCCAATTTGTTTAAAAAGGATGGGGAAGGAGGCCACAGAATCAGTAATCAGAATGAAATCTATGACACATAATAATATTAATGCTAAATTGTCCAGCTTTTTATACGTAATTTAACTGGCCTGAAAATCTTTTCAGCAAGAGGTAGAATACAAACTATATGTACACACAAATAGGCTATGTCATAGATTACCAGCAAAATGTAATCTAATAAACTTGATTCTCAGGAAGTGCTTTAAATACTTCTGATTCATATACAAAGCTATGTAATTTTTTCAATCAATTTAAGGCAAAATAATAGGAGTGAAGGAATAGTCAAGAATAGTCCTACACTGATTATTGGATGTGCAAGGACACTACCTATAAAAAAGGACTAACACTGGGATGCGCTAAATGACAGGCATTAATTCTTACATGCATATCTCAGTACCTCCAACAACACTCTCAGGATGTTATTTTCCTGAGTTGAGGAAAATAAAACTCTGAGACTTGAAGACACTGGCCAGAAAATCAGACAACTAGCAGATGTTCAAAACCCCCAATCTTGTGCTCTTTTCAGTTGATTGAAATTCTGTCCAAAAAGCTGATAGGTCATGGCCTTCAAGAGGGTGAAAGCCACCAACAATGCCTCAATTCTTATAAAATCAGAGGCCAGAGAGGATCAGGGGGCAACCTCAAATGACAGAAATGTCAGCCTACTATGAGGTCACCAGTTCACCTCAAAATTTAGAGGTCCTCAAAAATGCAGAGCATCTCTAAGAAGTGTGCCCAGGCAGCAAATGACCTTCCAAACCATGAAGAACTAAAAAAAGGAAACTACTAAGTATTTAAATTAAGGAAAATGGTTAAATAAATTATGGCCCACAAAATTATATTTATGAAGTCTTTAATGATATGGTACATTGTTTTTGAGAATGTTTATCAATAAAAGTGAACTCTTATGGTGGACCTGTTTGGGGGACTGCTGCCCAGCCCCCCAAACTGTTCCCAAACTGTTTTGTAAGTGTCCCCTCTTTCTTTTGCAGGAATGAGCCTAAGTGGCCATACTGTTTCCAAAACCCTGTCTCCTGACCGTAGCTGACTGAACAAGAGGGAGCACCTGACCCATGCTGAGCCAATCGAATAATCCAGTATTTGAGTTAACCTTCAGCCTGGTACCATACAATACAGAAGTGGAGTTTGGCTAAAATCAGTAGCATGGTTACCCAAAGTCAGGTGAAATGGGCAAGCAGAAAGTGAGACACTTGCAGAGGAAACCAGCCTCAGCATGGAGAATGGAACAGACACGTGAAGAGAAGCAGAAACAGAAGAACACACAGTTCCAGACCGATGAGGCAAAAGCCTGGGGCTTTCCCAGTCCCATGGGGTTCATCCCCGCTTCCTACAACTGGGTTCCAAGAGATCCCTACAATCAACCTCTCTTTACAGAAATTTATTTGAGAGGGTTTCTGTTCCCAGAAATCAAATTAATCCTTGACAGAAACAAAATGATATAAAGAGAAGCACTAACAAAAACGTCAAATGTTAATCAATCGCA